GAACTCCTGGCTAGCCCCCAGAATGTCATACACGGCCCCAAGTCTGCTCTGGTTTCGTGTGTGTTTGTTTGTTTACAAGCACTTTACAGTGCTTTTTAGAAGCATTATTGAAAAGTAAACTGAGGCATAGTATACATTTTGAGTTTATTTTGAGTAAAGTTGATCGGAACCCAGCAGCACCAACCTGGAAGCGGTTAGAAGTGCTCCACCAACGAGGTGGGGAGAGACGCACAAGGAAGGAGCAGAGCAAAGGGAGCAAGTTCCGGCTGGCTGTAGCGTAAAGCCTCGTTGGCTGTTTGTGGTGGGCGTCCTTAGGTTTCAGTTTGGTAACCTTGAAGCATTTGAAGGCTTGGCTCTGGGTTGCTTACGTAGGCCGTAGGCCGCCACAGCACTGGAGGCCCCTCGGAATCATGGCCTCCTTGTTGAGTTCATTTAACACTATCGAGTGCCATAGGTTTTCAAGGCATTGGGGAAACCCTGGCAACACACTCAGGACTCGTTTCTAGGTGAGCACATAGCTAAGGTGCATACCTACCCTCCTTAGCTGCCTGGAACTGTTGGCAGGGGAGTTGGCAACAGAGGTATATAGGCTTGTTCTAGAACAGTGATGGCGAACCTTTTGAGCTCAGCGTGTCAGCGTTTTGAAAAACCCTAACTTAACTCTGGTGCCGTGTCACATATAGAAATTTTTTGATATTTGCAACCATAGTAAAACACTTATATTTTTGATATTTATTTTATATATTTAAATGCCATTTAACAAAGAAAAATCAACCAAAAAAATGAGTTCGCATGTCACCTCTGACACACCGTGTCATAGGTTCGCCATCACTGTTCTAGAATATTCTTTAGCTCTAAGCCTATAGACACTAAAAAGCCCAGGGAGCTCTTTGGCAGAGAAAAGGGGAAGCATCTAGCAAAAAGTAGTGTGTTAGAAAAAGAGAAAAGAAGGGTTAGAAGGAGAGAGAGAATGAGAGGAAAAAAATGTGGGCTGTGAATAGAGATGATACCCCGTGGCCGAAAGGGGTGGCTGAGTGGGCCCTGGCTTATCGCCTCCCCCTCAGACATTCAGGCATTTCAGTGGGAGAGGGAGCCGCCTGGCTGCTGCTTGTCACCCCAGAGGCAGCTCTGGCTGGGGCCGTCTTTCTTAGGCCCTTTCCATCGACAGTGCATCAGACCTTCTCTGTCTGAAGAGGGGAAGGTTCAGGCCTTCCTGTGGCCCTGTTGATGTAAGAAATGTCCAGACTGTAAAGAATTTTTGTAAGTTGTTTTTTTTTTTGTTTTTGTTTTTAGCCAAATTGACAACAATTGCCAGGAAGGAAATCTCAACAGATTGAGAAAATGCTCCAGAGAACTGCACCTTATTTTATACATTAGAATCAAAGGAGGAGACGGAAGGAGGGTTATATGAAATCCACTGCTGGTAGAATAAGGCAGTGGGAAAAAGCAAAGTGGGGGAATCTCTGGGGTTTGATCAAAGGCAAAGCGGAGGAACTCACTCACATTGGTGGGTACAGGATGGTTAATAATTAATGTATGTGGGGAACAGGATAGCACTGAGGGTTCTGTGGTCTTGGCTCCGGTGTGGGTGGTTGAGCCCTCAAGGCATAAGCAAAGGAGATTACGCTGACATTTCAAAGATATGTTATCCGAGCTGCTTAAGAACAGTGGGCAGAGCTCCCTTAAGATAAAGATTGACCTTTGCTAAGGAAGCTGGAGGCCTGGGAGGTGAAGACGTACCAGGCCCGCCCAGGCAGGAATTTACCATCAGACCATCCTATGCGGTTACTTTTGGCCACTGGGCTGGGCAGGCCTGCCATGTGGTCCCCGAGCTGGCAGGTTTATTGCACGTCCCCTTGTTGTCTACAACCCCTGGCAGTCCTCTGGCCAAGCCAGCCTCAGTGTGTGTGAGGCACCCAGGCACCGTGCGGCGTTCAGAGCCCCTGTGCTAGGGACTGTGGTGGCCCCAGGAGGGGTGTGAGGTGACAGGCTGACCAAGGTGCGTCCCTTGGCTCCATAACCGCGGCTGGCTCTCCAGGGATTTCAGCACAGCAGGAAGGTCCACCGTTCAGACAAAGGAGGGAGACCCCCTCAGGTTGAACTGAGAGTGGATTCTCTCTTCCCGAACCCATCCATCCGCTGCGCGAGTGATACTGACCCAGGCTCCCGGGCCCCAGGAGGGTGCATGTGCCTCCTTGAAGATGGGCAAAGGATGGACTCAAAGACGGGGGACTTTGCAGGAGAAAGCCCCCCGCCCCCATTTATTTTCCAGTGCCTACCTATCTGTCCACAGATGGAGTTAGTACTTTCCAATGAAGAGTGCCTGGCATCTCACCTGCGGGCCTACTGTGCACATTCCTCCGGAGACAAATGAGCTTTCCTCAAACCCTCATGGGCTCCCAGGGTTTTGTTGTGTGGTTTTTTTTTAAGATTATAATTCATTTATAAGGTTTACAAATCCAACTATAGAAATGATACAAAATTAATACAGCGAAAAATTATGCCAGCACTTTCCCCATCCCTGCCACGAGGTCATCATTCGATTAGTGTCTTTATTTTGCAGCGTTTCTTTATGCAGATACAGCAAATATAACTCTGTATTCTCTTTTCTCCCTTTTCATATGAAAGGAGGGCTGCTTTATATACTCTCTGCACCTTGGTCCCCCCCCCCTCCCCCAGCCTCCTTTAACAATTCATCTTGGAGATCTTTCTGTACCAACTCGTGCAGATCCTCATTGCTTTGTTCAGTCGCCCCACGTCCCACTGTGTGGATGTGCAGGTTGTTTAGCTGCCAAAAATCCTGCTTGGCTGCTGTCTGATGTGTGGAACCCGCTTCCTGTTCCTCAGCCTCCGTGGACCACCTGCACCTGCCGCCCACCCCTCCCAGCAGCCACAGCAGTGACTCAGAGGGCAGCCTGAGCCCCAACCCGCGCCTGCACCCCTTCGGCCTGCCTCAGACCCACAGCCCAGCCAGAGCGGTGCCGCGGGCCCCCTCGGCCCTCTCCAGTTCCCCGCTTCTCACGGCACCTCATGTAAGTCTTTGCGTTCTGTCACCTGGCCCTTCACCCAGAGTGGCTGCCACTCGAGGCCACGTGATTAATACTCTGGTAAGGAAGTTTTAGGTCTAAAGCAGGTGATACTCTTACAGAACGCTTTTAGGAATGGCTCGTCACCTCACCTGGTGACACAGTTCTCTTCCTGTGCACGCCTCCCATTTTGTTCCTGTGTTTATTTTACATGGCTAAGGCATGAGGAATACAAGTGCGTTGTTTTTCTCCTCCGAATCATCTCACACATGTTTACATCCATGTAGGTGATCCTTACTTCCTGCAGTAGGAAATGCCCTTGTTTTTTAAATAAGCAATATTTGGTGAACTTAAACATCTCCCGGGGATTAAATGCTTTGGTGTCTAAAGCTTAAAAACGTAGTTTAACCTTTTCCCCCCTCTGGTACGCCTTTAAACCCAGAAACAAGTTAGAAGTCATGGCACCATTCATCCTTAATATATACAAGGGCACCGTTTTCCAAATTAAAAATAGGGGTAGATAGATCATTAACTTCTTACTGTACTGAGGAATTAATTGGTTTCCATTAATTCTTAAACATTATCATCAGTTTATTGAATTTATAATATCAAATAAAGAAATTTGAATGGAATTGGATAATTAAAATTTCTGTAAGAATTGCCTATCAACACAATTTTGAAAATTTGCATTTAGTCCCAGTAAGTTCTCTGGCCGGGAATTGAACCGTGACCTCCTGGTTCATAGGCCGATGCTCAACCCCTGAGCCACGCCAGCCCGGCCTTCTCCATTTCTGCTACGACTTCAAAGTACCTGTTCCTCACCAAGAGCAGATGGGGCAGCCTTTTCTCTTGGCTGTTTGAGAGGATGGTATACCAGCCTTCGCACCCCTCTGGAGGGCTGGCCTCAGCGCGCCCAGCTGTCCCTTTCTGACCCCCTTCTGCTCCTGGGTTTGCACAGAAACTGCAGGGCTCAGGCCCACTGGTCCTGACAGAGGAGGAGAAGAGGACACTGGTTGCCGAGGGCTATCCCATCCCCACCAAGCTGCCCCTGACAAAATCAGAGGAGAAGGCCCTGAAGAAAATCCGGAGGAAAATCAAGAACAAGGTGAGCCCTTCAGATGTAGGTCCTTCCGTGAGCAAAGACCAGGAGCAGAATCGAGCCCACGTGCCTTCCCTCCCTCCCATCGCCAGCCCTCCCATCGTGGGGCCGAGGCTCAGCCTTCCCTTCCCTGGGCCAGGAGCAGCGGGAGCGTGGCCACCTCCTGCCCCTGTCTTCCTCCAGCCCCGCCCTTCATCCTCTGGGTCAGTGGACTCCCCATTCGGGCGTGCACGTGCTTGGTGCCCAAGATGATTCATTCAGGGGTGGGAGGAAATAGTTAGAACATTAATGTAAATCATTTTTAAAAATCAGCCTTTCAACTGTCTGTTTTATGATGAACACAATATTTCCCTCTAGTAGGCCTGTCTGTAATTTATTTATTTATAATAAAAATTTTATTTTTCAATTACGGTTTATATGCCATAATATTTTGTATTTCAGGTGTACAGCATAGTGGTTAGACAATCATACACTTTACAAAGTGTTTCCCCCAATATTTCCAGTACCCACCTGGCACCATACATAGTTGTTACTGATTATATTTCCTGGGCTGTACTTTACTAGTATATCCCCACGACTGTCTGTAACTACCCATCTGTACTGGTCAATTAGTTCACCTATTTCACCCAGTCTGTCTATAATTTATAAATAAATATAAATACTTATGGGTGCTTACTTAATCTTTTTTTTTAAAGATTGTGGGGTTTTCTTTATTAAAAAAATTCTGCAGACCATTGTTCTGTGTCAGGAGTGGCCACAAAAGTGAGCAGGGCTTTTGTGGTTTCTGTGCTAACAGCCTCCTCTCTTCCTTTGACACGACTGGCTTCTGATATAACTGGAGCTTAATCCTTTCCCCCTTATACCTCAGATTTCTGCACAGGAGAGTAGGAGAAAGAAGAAGGAGTACATGGACAGCCTGGAGAAAAAGTAGGTCCCTGCCAGACTGTTGCGTCTGTTTGTTGGGCAGTATGCACAGAGGCGTGTGTGTGTGTGTGTGTGTGTGTGTGTGTGTGTGTGTGCGAGTGTGTGTGTGCAGAGCTGAAGTCCCGCCCGGCTGCCAGTGTGAACTCCTTGCTTCATCAGCTGGGTTTCGCCTGACACCTAGTGGTTTTCAAAGGCAAAGCTTATATAATGGCAGGAAGCAAAAGTACACTCAATCTTTTTAAAAATTAAATTTATTGAGGTGACATTGGTTATGAGATTATGTTTCAAGTATACAATTCAACAACACATATCTGTATATTGCATTGTGTGCCCACCACTCAAAGTCCAATCTTCTTCCATCGCCATGTGTTTAAAGCTCTCTCCCCTTTACGAACCCCCACTCCCTTCCCTCTGGGAACCACCATACTGTTGGCTGTGTCTATGGGTTTTTGTTTGTTTGTTTGTTTTTCTTGTGCTCATTTGTTGCTTTCAGTTTTATATCCCACATAGGAGTGAAGTCACATGGTTCTTTACTTTTTCTGTCGGACTTATTTCACTTAGCATGATATTCTCAGGGTTCGTACAGGCACACAATCTTAGGGGCATTTGGACCACATTCGTTTCCAACCAAAGATCTTCGAGTCCCTGAAGGCTTCCTTTTAAACGTGTACAGATATTCACAGTCACGCCCCCTGCAACAGCCAAAGGGAGCGGAGCTGATTCATCAGAGCTACGCCCCAGGGAAAGCAGGAGATGGAATGTCAGGTTGGCCTTGTTATTTCCTGCCCACTGTAAGTCGGGCGGCAGGCAAGAGGATTTTCACAACAACACTCGAAGGCAGCCTTTGCTCTTCTGAAAAGCCTGGGATTTCAGAAGGGCTGTTAGAAAATATGATTAAATACAATTCTGCGCTGGCCCTAGAAAGTAGTTAACTTCAAGCTAACTTCACTTTTAGATGGGAATGAGGCCCCGGATGCAGAAATGAATCTTCATGTATACCTGGGGGAAGGAGTGGCCAGTGAATCCTGGCTGGTTCTTGAGGTTTCTACTGAAGTTAGTTTTCCTTAAGTAGTCCCATTCTGTCCCCTCATTTCTGTAGGCATCCAGAGGCAAGAAGTTTCTATGAAAATCTCTTTTTTGTCTCTTTGGGGCACACATGCTCTAGCACCCGGATTCCTTCTCTTGAGGTCCTAGATTCCTCTCCTCCCCTTTGGCCCTGCCCTAAGCCTCTTGGCTTCCGATGAGTCCGTCTGGCCAGGAGTACAACTGACAGCACCCAGACCCCGTAGTCCAGAGAGAGAAGTGTGATGGGCATTGAGAGCATTAGGGAAGACGTGAGAGAAAACAAGGTTGGAATACCTGAAGAGAAGTTCACGTTTTGTACCATCCAGTTCATTTTTTATTATTGAGGCACTTGTTACTAAACTCTTTATATTTTTTTTCTTCTGTCTTCTCACCCTTCTTCCCAATTCAGGTTGTCCAGGCTCTTTCCCTCACCTCCTGGGGTAGCTGATGCTCTGTCTTCTTTCTCTGCTCCCCAGTTACCTCCACCTGAGCTCCTGGCTCAGCATTGCTCTACTGATCAAATGAATTTGCTTCTTTCTGCTCCCTGTTCAGGGTGGAGTCTTGTTCAACAGAGAATTTGGAGCTTCGTAAGAAGGTCGAGGTTCTGGAAAACACCAACAGGTAAGTGTTGCTGGAGTAAGGAGCTGGTTGAAATGCCTAATGGAAAGTGGGAAGAAGGGGGCAGATAGATCCAGGACCAGGGCTGGAAGGATAGTGGAGGAGATCACATTGAAAGTATAGTTGTATCAGGATGCTCAGGACGGGTGTACTCTACCACACATAGAGTCAGATGTATACATGAAATGCACACATGTGTACACATATGTGCAATAACACAGAGACACACATACATGCACAAGTAACACATGCAACACATACATTAACACAGATATGTGTGCACATACATGGGATCATATCAAGTACACATGCATACATGTGCACACACCCATGCACATGTTCTTTACCTTTTCTAAAACACGTGGGACTAATGAAGACACTGATTCTGACAAGGGCTATGATTAAGGGGTTAAGGAGAGGCTTGGAGGAGACTAGTAATAAGCTTGATTCTTCTGAAAAGGTCATCAAACTTTAGAGGTGGACAAGGAGGCACTGGCCATTTCATTGTCCCCCAAATTTAGTAATAAATGATCTTTATTAGTGGGGGGAGGGAGAAAATCAAATTTGTTTTTTAACTACTGTTTTAAAAATTAATTACCAAATTAATTAATTTCAAGCCCATTTTGAAATATAACTAAAGGACAGAATGAGTTTAATTACATTTCAAGCCCATTTTGATATATAACTAAAGGACAGAATGAGTTAATGAGTTTCTCTAGGACTCCCTGTGCCAGGAACTACTTTCAGCACTTTATAGATATTAACTCATTTAACCTTCCAACAGCCCCATAGGTGGTCCTATTACTATCGTGATACAGATGAGGTAACTCAGAAAGGCTAGGTCAGTGGTCGGCAAAATGCGGCTCGCGAGCCACATGCGGCTCTTTGGCCCCTTCAGTGTGGCTCTTCCACAAAATACCGACTTCTGTGCATGGGCCACAAAGTTTCAATCGCACTGTACGTGCACGCCCGCACGTGGTATTTTGTGGAAGAGCCACACTGAAGGGGCCAAAGAGCCGCATGTGGCTCGCGAGCCGCATTTTGCCGACCACTGGCGTAGCTTTTTTGAGTAACCTCATGCGTTTCACGCTAGGAGTAGCTCCACCTAAGCGCGTGTTGGAAGGGTTGATTGAATTAATAACTATAAAGGGCTGAAAAGATGCCCTGGAACAGGAGGGCCAAGGAGAAACTCATTA